GTTGCAGAGAACGTTAAGTACGTGGACGACCTCCAGCAAGCGCTTAAAGAAAGCTTAGCTGTGTTTTCGGTTAGCTAATTAAAATCTGAACAAAAACTAATCATCGAGAACATCGTGGAAAGGAGATATGTTTTCGGACAGTTACCGAAGGGGTTTGGAAAAAGTTTAATCTTTGAACTGCTGTGTAGAGTGTTCAAATTCTTGAGCTCGAAAGGCCACGGATTCTCTTCTAGTCCCTTGGTCATTTCACCTCTTTTATCGATTGTTGAAGACCAAGTTAAATACCTTTGATGATTGGGAATCGATGCTGCTTTCATTGGGGAAAAAAAAACCAACTGGACCAAGAAATATTGGATTGTAAATGTCAGCTTAGTACAGGGTTATCTACCCACATCTAATAAACAAAAGTTTCCACGTTTAGCTTTTCCTTTTTTTTCAAGCGAAGATCACATTAGATTTTGGCCTGGCGTGCACAAAAAGTTGCGTAAGCGCCAGTTGCTCGACATACCTGCATGGCCCGTGCGACGAAATAGCTTCACGGGATTGGAAAAGTTACAGTTACAGCAAATTATACAAAAAATCTTGAGAGATTTAGGCTTACATCTCATCTAACGTTTAAAGCGACATATCAATGTTTGCAACCATTATGTTTTATACGAACCTCGCAAACTTTCAAACACGTTCTCTTGTGATACCTGCGAAAGTATTCAGTATAATTTCCGGTGAGATTTCGCGGACAATCTGATCGATATCTCTTACATTGTGTAACGAGATTGAAACTTTTCACCTCGGGCAAAGCTTCGTCGCACAGCCCAAACAAACATAGCGAGCAACAGAGCTTGTTGTATATGTGCGTGTTAAAACACACGAAAGGACTCCAAAGAACACTTGACTCTGATTGGGCAGAAAAACACAAAGATTTTCTGGCACCAATCAGATGCCAGAACGACTGCGACCGTTTGGAATTAGTCTTGTAAGACAATGTCCCCAGGGGCTCTTCTGCTCTTAACTTGAAATCGACTCAACCCCTGGGTCTCCGAGGATGTGTAGACCCCCAAATGGGAAAAGAAGATCTAACCGGTGCATGCAGGGAACTTAGGTCACGGAGACAAATGCCAAAACCCGATGGAGCGTGCCCCTCACAGCTTGAATGACGAGCGCATTTCCTACGTTTTCCTTGTCTGTTATTTGTATCGACTATAAATTGATTTGCATAGTGTTACGGAAAAGCCGAGCTAAAACAATCGCCCGTGTTATGATTGGTGCATATTTGTGCTCAAATATAGTTTTCTGCTACAAATTTAAAATGAAAACAGGAAACCAGAGAATTTATCCAGTAAAAATTAGGGAACACACAGCCGCTCGAATCCGGCCAATATACATGTATGTAAGAAGAGCCACAAGTACATTTCTGTTAAGGACACAAAAACCCAGTCATATCGCCACTGCTAATTTGATACTTTTAAATTCAGTCAAATTGTCACGTTAACACTAATTATTAAAAGTTGGATCATTGGATAATGCAATTCAAGACTTTTTATTGGCTTAGCTATATAATGTATGAGCCAATATACCATAATCTAAGATTTGTACATTGTAACATCCGGTTTCTTCTTACAAAATAAAGTCGAGAAGATTTCTCTAATATCTTAGGGGCGTTTTTTTTCAATAAAACAATTATTCCACTCGCCCTTGTTGGATATGAGATGATAGATAGCCAACGAGGCGCGTAGCGCCGAGTTGACTATAATCATCTCATATCCAACGCGCGCTAGTGGAATAATTGTTAATTATCCAGTCTTTTTTTTCTGTACTCTCGAAGCCGAATTCATTTATGCTAACAGACCTAGAGATTTTAAGGAGATCACAAATATCAGATTTTCTATTAAAGAAACATTGGCGATCTTTTGTTTTTCCACGTCCTCGTTACCGCTACCGTCGTGGTTTGCGTTAAGGTACCTAATTCTTACACTGTCAAACAAAATTTCTCTTTCTTAAACGTGTTGCTTTGCTACCAAAACAAACAAAAAGGTACTTGTAGTTAGCATTTTGGCGCAATTTCCTTTGTGGCGCGAAATTGAATACGGTCACAATGACAAAAACAATGTATCTATATGGACGCTCAATAAGGCTACAATTCCTAAATATCTATCAGGTGCTTATACAATCCCTTGGTGGCAAACTTTGGAGCAATGAGATGAATTCATAAACCAAAGTTGGCAGACAACGTGTATAGTTTTCATCATCAGTCATCGCAGAGCGACAGATTCAGGCACAAAAAATGAAACAAGTCAATTTTCGTTAGAGGCTGCTCAACATTTACAATCTTTTATCCAAAACAAAGTTGCAATTAATTATCAACACTCACCAATCGGTTGATAGCGCGCTGTAAGATCGAAATAAAACCGACTTTCAAGATCGAAGACCGTAAGAGACTAAGCACTTTTATTAGTGATTTTCTTTTGAAATGATCAACACCGAGATCGCAAGTTGCTGGAATGCTCTGTCAGAGAACTGAGTAACACTCAGTGGAGTGTCGACATGAACGAAATTGTTTAGTCCTTCCTCCTTCTTGGATCTTCAACTCAAGGTCCTTTAAACCTAAGACCTTTCTTTAAAATGTGTTAGCAGCCGTTTTGATCTCGCTTTTTTCCTTCTAGACGTTTTGACACCTCGGCTCATAAACATTTATCTTTTTTACCTCACCATAACCGAGATGCTTTTTATTCTGATACGACTGCCACCATACCTAGCGTTTTCGTTGAACAAGAAACCATGATAGAAGATTAAATGACGGAAAATTTGCTAACATGTTTCGGAAAGTTTTTTGGATATTTCCTTTTGTAGAAACTACGTGTAAGGCCTTTTAACAAGTTGCAAAGTTTCTCCTCCCGATCTTTTTTCGTGTTCATGTGGTCAACGGACATTCCCAGTAATGCATAACACACTTAACAGAAGCCTGGCCAGTTCCATGTTGACCATAACAGCTACAATGGTAGAACAACTGACCATTAGCTCCGTTTATTACGTGCGATAGCAGATAAATCTGTCCGTAGTCTGTTGTACATGAGACACCAAGAATCTTTTTACCCTGCAATGAAAAAAAAACTTGAACTATATGACTGAAAATGAAGAGAGAAAAACAATTAACTGCTCCTGTTTATTAATTTATGATCTATTTCTTATTTTGGAGACTTTGATTCCAGGATACAAATGTTAAAATATTTATCTAACTTTTGACACAAAGGATCTATATACATGCAGTACAATATTAGTCATTGGCGTATCACTTTATATAACTTGAAAGAGCCAGGCGTTTATCTAAGGCAAGGTGATGCAAAACAGTCAGACAAACACCCCTACAATTCAGGTAAATTACAAAGAGAATATAGTCTCTGAATCTCCTTCTAAGAGTATACTTACACTTGGTTCACCCAGGATCACTTTAATTGGATTTGGTAAGCTGTTGCTGGTGATTGGAGGTTGATTTCCAGTCAAATCCTTAGTCTTGTGTTTACACTGGGAGAAGTCTCCTGCTCCTTTAGGTCCCTGTGGTCCTGGCGGTCCTTGTGATCCATTAAAACCCTGCAGGCCTATCACACCTTGGGGACCCTGTGTACCATTGAATCCTCGAGGTCCTGCTGGTCCGACAGGTCCTTGAGAGCCGTTGAAACCACGTTGTCCAACGGGACCCTGTAGCTTACTCTCGTTCTCTAACTGAAAGATAAACCGATGTCTCTTTTAAAAGAGTTTGTTTGTTGGTGGCATGTACTTCATCGCACATATCCCTGCCAAACCCTAAATGGCGAGTTCCTAGGTGCATTCTTGACGGTATGATCTTCGTTTAGTGACCAAGACAACCACGATGAGAAGAACAAGGAACAAGAGGAAACAAGATTGTCTCATGATGCTTTGCATCTCCGTTCGAACAAATTTAGACCCTTTAACGTGATCCATGTCAGGGTTTGAGTTCGAACAACAGCTAAATATTTGCACTAAACCATAGGGTTTTACATTTTACGCAGCCCAGGACCTGTTCTTTTCCAAAAACAACCATTCTTTTCTAAAAGTATTTAGCAAGAGAATATAAACAGTCCATACTCTCTTGTACTAAGCTACTATATCCCTCCAAGAGTTTATAATTATATTCTCTTGACCCCTCTCAATTTATAAACCTGGGGTCTCATCATCCGATGATGAACACATTAACGCGCAATAGTATTGTTGTTAATAAAGGGTGTCCGTCTAGTCTCCACAGTGGCAAGAGCAAATATGATGTTAGAAGTTTTCTTTTGGCGCCAGAAAGAGATCGACCGTGGCTTCGCTACGCTTTCTTCAAGGATTAATTAGAGGTGATTAAAGTATTGAGGCTCCATATGATACCTTCAAGTATAAAGTGATGTTGATGGCGTCAACTGTTTTTTCGAACTTTCCGAAAAGCTCCGTTACCGTGTCATTATTTCACAAGTTATGGCTTTTTACATGATCGGTAAATGTAACAAGCCTCTCACTTTTACATAAAAATAAAGTGTTACCGAAGTAATACCATTTAGACGGAGTAAATGAAGATATACTCACCTTTACTTTCGTTTCAGACATCGCCATAACCAACTTCTTTTCCGTGGCATTTAAATTTTCCTCCAAGCGTTTGAGCCCAGTATTGACCTAAGGTGAGCACAATTCTGAGATTAAGAGGTAGTTCACAAGGAGAAGCGATAAGACAGTTTCATAAAAACTTCCTCATTTATCTTTGATTAGCTCTCCAAATAGACGAAAACCTATATGTTTCCTCTGGAAGATCTATAATTTCGGCTCCGAAAACAAAGTCATCTCTGGAACACCTCGTCATCAGGTCAAAGTCATTCCAAGGACCTCTACTCTAGCCATCCCGCCAGGGAGGTTGGGAAGAAGAGAGGAACAGGAAACGTGTCTGTTATTAGTAATATTAGCAGTATTATCACTACAATCACAGCCGGCTCTTCATCCTCCTTATAGCCATCACCGTTACAGCTTCTCTTCTACTTGTCGTCATCATCATTATTTCTACCAAGTTTTGTGATCATACGGGATTCCATAATTGAACTCTAATTAGAGAAAACGAGTCATGCAAAAACAAATTCACAACCTTACCGATAAAAGGGAACTTTCAGCATCATTCTTGAAATCGTTGAGGTTATCTTCGGTTTGATTAGCTAAAGCGTGTAGTGTTGTCATCCATGAGATAAGGCGATCAACCTATCAAGAGTCATCAATAAAATGATTGGAGTTATAATTCAGGAACTATTTTCGCAGTTTTGCCTCAGTGAATCACGTGGTGGAATGTGCTCCGACTAGAATTGGAGTATATCCGGTGGTATCTGGCCCCATTAAAAAGATAATTGCATCCACTTGGTTTGAAAATGAACCAAAATTTCAAAGATGATAGATTCTTGAAATCGATTTAGCTAAATTAAGTACGTCTTGTTTCGCTTTATCTACCGGCTGTCTGGAACTATTCATGCTGATTTCTTCCACTCTCTGATGTAATACGGCAACTGAAGAGTTCAAACTTAATACTTTCTCTTGCAACTAGAAAAAGGAAAAATATTGACAAATAATCAGCAACTTTTACCATTTCATCTATGATGTTGTAATCCTGAAAATTGCATACACCTATGACAACACCTATATCGGATTTTGCAACAAATGACAAACTACTGGCGAAACGTTCCCGAGCAGAAGAA